GGAATATTCCCCATTTGCCTGAATGAAGGCAGTCCTAACAACACTCAAGAAACTTGACACCTTCCAGGACAAAGCAGTCCGCTTAATTGGCACCACATCTACAAACATCCACTCCCTCCAACCCGACGCTCAATAGCAACAGTGTGTACTATCTACAAGATGCATTGGAGGAATTCACCAAAGATCCTCAGACCGCTCCTTCCAAACCTATGACCCCTACCATCTAGAAAGATAAGCACAGCCAATACATGGGAACACCTGCAAGTTCCCCTCCAAGCCACTCACCATCCTGACTTGGAAACATATCACTGTTCCTTCAGTGTTGCTGGGTTAAATTCTGGAAGTTCCTCCATAGGGGCACTGTGGGTCTATCTGCAGGTCAAGAACACAGCTCACCACCACCTTCTCAAGTGCAACCAGGTACAGGCAATAAATACTGACCAGCCAGTGATGTTGGTCACATCCCACAAGTGAACAAGGAAAAGAATATTCAAAATGTCTTTCTGGCCCTTTGAAAAAACACTGGTCAAATCTTCACCAAACTGAAAATCAGATACAGCTACTTCTCCCCCACTTTAAAACAAAAATCCTAAAATGATAATATGTTATGGAACTTTATACCTATGACCAATTTGGTGGACATGTATAAACATATAAAATCAAACTTTCAGAAGACATGTGATAACCTGAAGAGGTTTATACCTTAAACAGAAGCTGTTGGGAGAAAGGAGAAAATTGTAAATTTTAAGTTACAAACACTGATAAATGACAGTCATTCATATAGACAGTTGCAACAAACATGTTATCCCAGAGTACATTTCCAGGACCACTGCTCTTCTGAGTAAAATGAATTTGATGAAACTATTAAAAGTGCAAAATGTACCAAGTTTTGCAGAAATACCTGCAAGTTCAAAGGAAAATGATAAGTATTGGAGGTATCTAAAAATGTCATTGCCTATAAAGGGATTACAAATGGAATTTCATTAAAAAGAATTGGTAAACTGAAATGGAAAACTGATAAGTTTTACAAAGGTAAAAAAGAAAATAAATCAGGAATTTTTTCATGTATAATAGTCAGTCTGGTATTAAACAAACTGTCTTAGTACAACAGATGTAAAAGCAAAGGAAATGTAAATGGATGCTTCCAGATCTTAAATCACTAATTGATGAAGAGCTGCTAAGGAATTAAATCTATTCGCAGCGGGAAATCGTTGAAAGAGGAAGTATCGTTCAAGATAAAGGGAATTATTAATGAGAATTACTGTGTGAAAATCCAGGATGAAGAAACAGACAGCATGTTTGCAAACTAAGAAGGAATATGCTAAACATAATGCAATTAATGATGCAATCATATTTTATTGGATTGATTTTAAGTGACAATTGAAGTGATGCATGGTGGGTTAGACAATAGTTAGGTGACCAGCAGGGACGTGTTGGTCAAACGGCCTTTATCTGTGCAGTAGATTTCTATGACACTATGAAGGTGCCAATATTTTTGGTGTGCATGAGAAATATCAGCAGTTTAAAGCACCAAGGATTTGAAGTACTGAGACCTGATTATAGTATGGTATGTGGGTTGATCAGCCAACTGTCAGTAGCCAGGCTCGGGCATCTTCTCTTGGTCATTTGTGGCAGGATTTCCAAGGTAACATGCTTAGATGGTGAATGCATTTCTTAAAAGAAGATTAATATGGTCTATCTCTGCTGTAACGTCCTGCCGTCTTCTAAGATTGAATTCGCTGAGTTCCAACAATATGTTCATCCTGAATTATTTGTGTGCTCCATGTTGGAGATGATTAAAATGAGGGGAAATGACTCCCTTCTCCATGGTTTTCAGCCATGTCCCTAGGTGGTAGTCAGGGATGGATGTGCCTTTGCTACAAAGTGGTGTGAAAATTGAAATATAACTACGCCATTCAAATCTTCCACTTACAGCATATACACGTTCATCAGAATTGATTCAGTTTTTATCCTCAAAAAAGATGACATAGCCTTTCAATAAATTGACAACAGTGCTACCACTTTAAAGCATGAAGTTATCTGTTGCTAAATCTCAAAGTACCCTTAAAATGTTTTCACTGGCATTGGAAGGGTAGAAGCAAAGTTTCCAAAATTGTAATAACAGGTATATGAAATTGAATGTAGAAAATAGGCTCTAGAAATGAATTACCAGCCAAATGTGAATTGTAACAACAAACTTGTTAGATGCTAATGTTTGTCAGCAAATGCTGACTTACCAACCCCTGAAATTTCCATGGGGTCTTTCTGAACTCCTAATATAATTTTGTTGGAAGAGTTGTTTGTGGCATTCCTTCAGGATTTCTCCCTAAATTATGGCTGGAGAATAGTGAACCTAAGGGAAATTCTGTGCCAATTTATCAGCAATATCCATTGAAAGTGGACTAAGTGGAAGAGACTGTGCAGTAAATATTGACATCAATAAAGCATTACAAATGGACTGTATCAGATTTCAATTTAATGAGGATAGAAATAAGGATTTAATTCAGGTCATTGGGAGAATCACATCTTACAGTGTGCTGCAGCACTGATGCTACCGGGGTTTTTTGAGTTATTAAGAGAATTGTTTCTTTGGGTAGGAGCTAGCAAGTGCCTGCACCATTATAGGTGTGTCTCAACAGCCTGCCAATCCTTTTGCTGTGGCAGGGAATTCTGGCACCCATCACGTATCTCACGACTGAGACTAGAACCTGTGAAATCATATTCACAGCCCCTTCAGTCTTACTTCTTGACATAGATTCCCTCCCATTATAGTGATGCCCACTAATCTTAGAACAATTATCATCACTTGAGTAAAAAGAACAGACCAAACTATTGGAATTGAAGGCAAATGAGTCCTCAGGGCCTGATGGCCTATATCCTAAGGTTTTAAAGAAGGTGGCAACGTAGATGGCGGATCCACCAGTTACAATATTCCGACATTCCCTGGATGTGAGAAAATTTTCAGTGGATTGGAAACCTGTGAATACGACAGCCTTATTCAAAAAGGGAGGGAGGTAGAAAGTAGGAAAATTTATTAATTATACATCTGTCATTTGGGAAATAGTTAGAATCAATAATTAAGGAAGTAATAACCGGACATTTGGAAAATCAAAACACAGTCCATCAGAGTCAGCATGGTTTTATGAAGGATAAATCATGCTTGACTAATTTGTTCAAGTTCTTCAAATATTTAACAAGTAAAGTGGATAATGGGGATCCTGTACATACAGAATATCTGGACTTCGAGAAGACATTCGGTGAGGGGCCATACAAAATGTTGATACACAAGATACAATCACGTGGAGTTTGGGGTAATTTATAAGCTTGGATGGAGGATTAGCTAACCAACAGAAAGCAGAGAGGTAGGATAAATGGGTCTTTTCCTGGTTGGCATGATGTAACTAGTGGGGCGCCATGGGATCCAGTCCTCAGGCCCAACTATTTACAATCCTTATTAATGACTTGAAAGCAGGGATAAAATGTACTACAGTCAAAATTACACTAAAATGCACAAAAAATACATAGGAAAGTATGCTGCAATAAAGAAATAAGAATTTTACAAATGGATATGGATAGGTCAGCTGAATAGGCCAAAATTTGGCACTTAGAGGTTAACATGGATAAGTGTGAGGTTGTCCATTTTGGTTGGAAAAATAGATGGGCAAATTATTGTGTAAATGGAGAGAAACTTGGGAGTGCTTCAGCAGAGGACTCTGGGTGTCCTTGTGCTTGAATCACAGAAAACATAAGCATCTAGTAAAACTAGACGGCTCAGTGGCTAGCACTGCTGCCTCATAAAGCCACAGACCTGGGCTCGATTCCAGGCTCGGGTGACTATGTGAACTTTATCCATTTTCCCTGTGTCTCTGCAGGTTTCTGACAGGTGTTCCGATTTCCTCCCACAGTCCAGAGATGTACAGGTTGCTAAGTTGTCCATACTGTCGAGGGATGTGTAGGCTAGGTGGATTACACATGGTAAATGCTGGGTTATGGGGATAGGGTAGGGGTTTGTCTGCATGAGATGCTGTTTGGAGCATCTATGTGAACTTAATCGTCACAATAGCCTATTTCGCACTGTCAGGATTCTACTTGATGTAATGGAATTTTGGCATCTTTTGCTAAAGAAGTAGAGTATAAATGTAAAGAAGTGTTACTGCAACTATGTAAGGAATTAATGAGACTGCACCTGGAGTATTGCATACAGTTTTGAGGAGGGATGCAGTTGCATTGGAGGCAGTTCAGAAGAGGTTCACTAAGTTGATTCCAGGGGTGAGGGGTTTGTCTCATGAAGAGAAATTGAGCAGCTTAAGTCTGTACTGCCTGGAGCTTAGATGAATGAGGGGACATCTAATTGAGGTGTATAAAATGCAAAAAGGGATTGAAAAAGTGGATGTGGAAAGTCTTGTGGGGCAGCCTAGAATGGGAGACCACAGCTTTAGGATAAGGGGTAGGAATGAGGAGAAAATACTTCTCTCAAAAAGCCATGAACCTGTGGAATTCACCACCCCAGAACGTGGTGGATGCTGAGACATGGAGTAAATTTAAGGAAGAAATAGATTTTTAATTAGTAATGTTTGAAGGGTTATGGGGAATGGGCAGGAAAGTGGAGTTGAGCCGAGGTCAGATCAGCCATGATTGTATTAGATGGTGGAGCAGGCTCTAGGGGTTGAATTGCCTACTCCTGCTCCTAGTTCTTATGTTCTTTCTCAGGTATTTTGGTTCCATATAGTCAGATAGAGTTTTGAAATGGGATCTGTACAAAGTAGCAAGCATTCTGGATCAAACTATCAGATGTTTAAGGGATAATTTTAAAAGTTGTTTTGAGCTTAAATCTCGTGCTCTTTACTTGTGAGATTACCAAGTATAAAACAATATTGTCTCAATATTGTCTTCATATAATTGTGGTCTATCAAAGATGTGCATTAATTATTATTATGATCTCTTTAAAATGAACTCTGACATAATCAAAATATGTAATTTGAATTGTTCTACTTCATTAGCAAAGGATGAAACTTCTAATCAAGAGGAGGCAAATGAGGAACACCTTATGAAAACAAAGAGAAACAAGTACGTCAATTATTTTGTGCATGTTGATAGACATCATTTGTATGTTGTTTCCTTTACCTTTACTGTACAACTTGCTCTGTAAATACACAATATCTAATTTTGTTTAGTTAAGCCATTTTCTAAAGTAGCACATTTGTTTGAAAAAAAATTCATTTGAATTTTATATAACTATGATTCACAACAGCAGTTATTTATATTTAAACCATTGATTGAGGGTATTAACATTTAAAAATGTGACCTGCACATTCGTACTACAGCCTTGGCTGACTGTCTGTGTGGAGTTTGCACATTCTTCCTGTATCTGCATGGGTTTCCTCCCACAATTCAAAGATGTGCAGATTAGGTGGATTGGCCATGCTAAATTGTCCATAGTGTCCAGGGATGTGTAGGCAAAGCGGGTTAATCGTGGTAAAGGCGGGGTTATGGACATAGGGTGGGATGCTCTTTGGAGGGTTGGTGCAGACTCGATGGGCCAAATTGACTCATTCCACACTGTAGGGTTTCTATGATTATTTGTTATGCTTGAACAAGTTATTATTTTAATTCTGCCACATCTGCAGTCTGCTGCAGCTCATACATGCAGAATTGCCTCAATCTGTGACACACTGACCCTGAAAACAGAGTCACTGGGGTGGGCATCTGCTGTGATGGGCTGGTTAGAAGGCCCCCCCTTGGATTGTGGGATTTTGTCCCAGTTGTTTTAGGAGTTCTTAGACCTTCTAAACCTCATAATACCACCTCCCCACCAATACCGCCCTCCCCTCCACCCCCCTCCCTCTCCACTGCAGCCCATATATTTTATACCAACTCAAGTCCCCCAGCCACCTATGGCCCTCATGTGCACCATTCCAACTCAATTTCAATTTATCCTCCCCCATGACCCCTCAAACTACATGTCATCTCAATGTTTCAGTGGTAAATCTTGTTCCCCACCTACCCCTTCTGGTCCCTCATATCCTTGCAATGATGCAAACTCCATAGCCATTCACCCAGTATCCAAGATGATGAAATGTCAGGAACCACATGAAGGAAGAGAAAAAGTCTGATCAAATGAAGAAAAATACCCATTCATAAAACCCACATAAATGTTCTAAATTTCCTCAACTGGTGAATCACTTGGAAAAAAACAAACTTCTGTTCAGACCCCAAATCAAAGACTTTTAAGCTGTCAATCAAATGTCAACTCAGAACTGCCTACTGAGATAATTCAGTGTTTGAAACTTAGCTAAGCATTAGTAATGATGCAGTGCTAGCCCTTGGGGAATGTCAGTAAAGACCTTTTTGGTGCTTCACAAACAGTCCCTTTTTAATTTCTAATCAAGACCTGTCAAGCAGAAACATCCAACACAGCAGTTTATATTTTAGTCTCACTGATGTTTCCAGTCCGTATTTTCAGAAGTTTAATGAGGGTGAGACATTTAAAGATTTTCACATTTCGTACACAGACGTAGTGATGCTTGTTGAAAGTTCATAGGTGTTACAACCACAATATCTGGGCCGCTGTTTCATTTCTTTTATTAATTGTGCCTCCTAAAACAAATAGGGAAAGTATGTTTCCATGTTGATGACACCAGGGTAAACCAATGTAATCTTTGTGGATAAATTGAAAAGAGGCAACTGCATTGGACATCATAAAATGCATCATCAAAATTAGCCTTCCAACCAAAATTTCCTTCTAATGTACCTGCTATTTCCATAAGTCTACGTTTGATTCAAGAAAATAAAATCACTTCAAGATGTTTTGTGTGAGAAATATAATGTTAGAGCAGTCTATCATTTCATGAAAAATATAGATTCTAATCAATGATAGATTTTCAAGAAATGAAAACTGTCACGAATTGATGAAAACAACTTGACAAAAATCAGGCCCAGTGTGGTGCTGAAAGCATCTTGATGACCAGAAGTAGGCTGGTAATGAATTAATCATTACCTTTGTATTGTTATGGGTACTGCTTCATAAGTTTCTTAACATGCCCTCTGACTACAACTATGTTTTAATGGCACAAAACATTTGTTGAATTAGATGCCTGTGGAGTGCAGGAGACATTTGTTTCTTCTACATAACAGTTACTGCTGTAGAATGGAGCACTTAATTAAAATGCTTGCCCAACTTAGAGTTTGATGAGGTCAAATTTTAAGAATGTCATAGATTTGCTGATGTAATGAATATTAACAACAAAAGCTTTTACTGCTATTTATGCAAATGTAGTCCAGGTGGCTTCATATGTTTTTTTTTTCACAAACTGAGATTGATCTTTCATGACCATATGCTTCAGTAATGTTCACAGGTTAAGTGCAAGTAAAATCTTCCCAGTGGCAGGTTTGGTGGGTGATGAATTTCATCAGGAGGGAAGGAATAAATGTGGAAGCCTGTCGATGACCTTCCCACCCCACAGTCAATTGGGATCTTTAAATGGACACAACCACTAAGATGGCTTCACCATCACATTCATATTGACCTAGCAGTGGGCAGGGTGAAGCAGGAAGAACAATTACCAAACCCTTGCTTGAGGGGCTTCCAGAAAGTCTGTCATTCAAAGCTGCTTTGTGTGCCTGTTTGAGGGTTCCAATGTTAATAAGAAAGGTCTAATAAAAGCCACACCTGCACTTACTGCTAACTCCTCTCCCTAATGAGCTCCACCCTCAGCCTGTGGCCCTCACTCCTGCCTGAGACCGTCCTCAGTGTGAAGCCACGGTTTAGTGTCACATCAGCAGTAGCCACCACCACCCCCTTGAGGCACTGCTGACTGTAGAAAAGCTACCGGCATCTGATTGGCCAACGGATCTCAACAGGTAACACTGCATTCCCGGGGTTCTTGACTCTTGAAGACCCACTGTTAAGTGCCTGAGTGGCACACAGTGCAGTTAGCCTTCCTGAAAAGAGGCAATGTGAATATCGTGTCTATCCATCCAGCAGCTTAGACTCTTATTGTCTCAATAAGATTCCACCTCACATGTTTATCCAGGTGTATGAGGATCTCAACCTTAAATTGGGTGACGTTTCCAGTGTTCTTTCACTGAAACAATTTAATGCTTAGGCATAGGAATGTTAGAATGCACTTCTCTATAATGCATAAAGTGGTATTTTTGGATCTGAAACTGAAAATCCAGCAGTATTTGAAACTGTCACACATTACCTTGTTTATACTTTCTGCAATGAATCTCAAGACAACTATTATAAATAAAGTTTCCTAAGATAGTGACACTGTAATGAAGCTTCATAATGTTGAATTTAAATGGTGCAAAGATACATAATGCATGAAGATGCTGTTAATTTTAAGAAGCTCATTGGCAGAAGCCATGTTCTGTAATTTTGTGAATGCATTGTATATTTTATTAAAGACTCATAGCATACTACGATATCACCATGGTTTCAAGTGGCCTGCTTCTGGTTACACATATTTAATTTTGAAATTGATTATCATTAATTTTCTGTATTTCTTTTTAATCTTATAACCAAATGGATATATTTTCCAACAAATTTTATAACGTGTTCCATGTGTAGAGAAGTGCTAAATGCTAAAATACCATAAAGCAATTAACAGGTACAAAAGGCAGTTTACTCCATTATGACCTCCATTCTACATTTCCAGTAAATTCAGAATAAAAATGTGCACCAACAGTGACAGTTTTCTCATACCTGTTGGGGCCTTGTTTTATTGGAAAAATTTTTCAGATGGTGGCTGAGGGAGACGAAAACAGCTGGGAGTTTTTGTCTCACTTGCAAAAGCCAGAGAATGTCGCATTGACTGATCACACCAATTAGAAAATGAATAGACTCTTCATTACCTAATTGATTGTGAAGCGAGGATAATCCAAACAGCTATTTTTCCCCCATGTCAGATATTTTTATAACTAATAAATGAAAGTATTCAAAGAGAATTTTAAAACAACCACAATTTGTTAAGTTTTTTTTCCTCACCTGGGTTGTATGCAATTGCATCCTGAAAATCAGTCTTTAATTCCTGGATATACCAGGACAATCCTGGAGGGTTGGAAAACCAGCACATTAACATAGTACCGGACGCAACTGATGTTTCACATTTTTAACCCTCCTGCACAAGGAATGAAGAACAACTTCACTTTCTGAGGATTAGGATTTTATTAATTTTAGAGATACTGCTCCTTTTGAAAAGGGAACAAGCCTGTTGCCTAGTCGTGGCAAACTAGGTTCACACCACTGAAATGCTTTTAGCTACCTATAGTGTGTTTAAGGTTGCAGCATTTTTTGATATTTTGGACCTGAAGACTAAGTGATCACTTAGCATGAAATAAGCAAGTTGTGATTGGTGTAGATCCCAATATTGAAGCCAATGAGAAACTGTTGGACAAATGCTTCCAATAGAAAATGGAAATTGACGACGTTCCAATTTATTATTGTCTCTAAAAGCACAAATTATAACCATCTTTCTTACCGTTAATTGCAAACAATTTGATAAACATAATTTTTTTAAAGAACTGAACAGCCGGAGATTGCTAATTCTGCAAAGGAAGAAATGAATAGAAAAAGTTTGGAAAATACTCCGCACAGGACTATTGCCCCATTAGAAGAACGCATAAATCGTTTCCGGGATATGCTTCTGGAGAGAGGGGTAAGAACAGCACAGAAAATTATTCTGAAGCAATTTCTTTCACTAATCTGTTAACTCAATCACAAACCATTTACAAATACAGTAATAACAAGGTGTTGAGCTGGATGAACACAGCAGGCCAAGCAGGATCAGAGGATCAGGAAAGCTGACGTTTGGGGTCTGGACCCTTCTTTTTCTGAAGAAGAGTCCAGACCCGAAACGTCAGCTTTCCTGCTTCTCTGATGCTGCTTGGCCTGCTATGTTCATCCAACTCTACACCTTGTTATCTCAGATTCTCCAGCGTCGGCAGTTCCTACTATCTACAAATACAGTAAACCTTTTTATTATCTGGCATCCATGGGACCAGGAATGTGCAAACTGATCAAATATTCCGGATAATCAAGAGATCCAAATAATCATTGTAAAAACATACACAAAGTAATAGAGATGTAATGCAGGAGGTATACATATCACTGTTATACTGCATTAAAGCATAAATCATTTAAATAATAATGTAACTTTGCCTTAAATAAAACTTATTGGCAGAGAGCCTTCTCAATCGCACCCTCAACTGACTACTCAGGCATGGCAGTAGATCGCGGCATTTGAAGAGAAGTTGACTCAAAATTGAATCATCTGTTGATATTTCATGTGGCCATTTGATTCAACAACAAGTATATTTACATTGAGGTAAATAACTTGAAAAACTATAATAATTAGACAGAATAATACAGTAAACTTTGCAGTATTTGAGGTATATCATTTTTGCCGCTTTATCAAGCATGCCAGTTCATAAGGTGCCGATTAAAACAAAGTTTGCTGTAGTTGTTTAATACCTCAGAATCTGAGTATTGTTGAAAAAAGTTTTTATTTAAAACCTTTTGATTTGCACTCATCAGCACAATTCACAAGAAATACCAATGCAAAGGGAACACACCATTTTATACTCTTTGACAAGAAAGTGCTGGTTGCCTAGCAAGAACACTCTGACTGTTGGAGAAGTTGCCACAGAAAATGCACCAAATAAATAATGACTGACAGTTAACTGCCAAGTTTTATAAATTAGGCAGGTCAAACTCAACAATGGCAATGCCTCCTTCAATAACTTGAGTGGAAATACTCAATAACCATTTATGTTTCAATATGTTGCTTAATGATTCAAATGGAAGGAACAACTTTTATACAAGCTGACCTCCAGGAGTTGCCAACAATAGTTGATGGGAAAGGCATCATATTTAAACCTATTCCAGGTGTATTGTCCACAACTGAGCAAGGGTTATAATCCTGAACATGTTCTTGAGAAATGTCCCTGGTTGAGTTGTGTGGTCAGCAGTATGACACCTAATCTATATTGGTAGGTAGGCAGGTGAACCTGTAACAACTCATGAATGGGCAATTCCATTGTCTGACTGCTCCTGTTGAGGGAGAAGGGTTAAAGAGATGGTTATAGAATCATAATTGTCCTCAGAAAACTTGTTGCTTATCAGGATACATTATCTGTATTGCCATACTTCCCAGGTGATGCGTATAGTCTAGTAAATTTCCTGCATAATGTTGCAGATCTGGGTAATGAATCTCTCTAGCTAATGACCAAAACCAACACTGTAACACTTGAGTGAAAAATGTCTTCTCTATTTGCAAATGAGATTGATGCTTCCTGGTTGCTTGGCACCAGACTGGATCCTGTGATTCAGGTCACTAAGTTTCTTAGCCCAGGGCAGCTAATTCTATTACTTGTGATGAGATGTGCCGGCTGTTTTTTTTTTGCCATTATTTTCAGCTACACATGCTCACTGATGCTCTGGGCATCTTCTCCCATAATTGCTTTTTTTTTGAGTGGATGTGATATTACTCGAATAAGCCTTGGAAATGTAAGAGAAAATGCCATCCGAAGAAGGTTCTCCTGAGTAAGCAACTCCATTAAGACATGTCACCTTAGTTTTGAGGGTTTCAGCAACTTAGTGTGGCTGGATCGGGACTGAAGTTTTATGATTGCCTGGCTATTCTTCAAACTGATTATCTTGAATCAACCTATCGATTAAGAGAAGAGAAAGGGAATACTTTTAGAAATATTGACTCTCCTAATAGTTAAGAAATCACATAAAGCTTTATAATTACAAGTTTAGAAGCACCACACCAAAAGAATATGAACAATTTTCTTAATTTACAGATATTTAAGCTTCTTTTCTTGAGTACTTGAAACATCAACAAGTATAAATTTAACTTATTACTGCCAATTACATGAATTTACCTTTAAGCAATATAAATGTTGCTAATTGATAAATTAAATGAAAGCAGTTGTCCATAAAAACACAACCCCTTTGTAAGAAGGCAGATTAGCAATATAATCACAAATTTCAAACAATTCCTTTGAAACAATTCTTTAGCACAATCCAATTGCAAGTTTCTTTAGACTGTTATAATACTGCTTGAAAACAGTAGCATTCCCTATTCCTTTTTCTTCTAGTCACACAATCCAGAACCACTTGGCTAATTATAAAATCAGAATCACTTCAACAACTAACCACTTGGTTTTGTCAGTAATTCAGAAAATGGCCAATGTTCAAAACGGAAAATTATCTGACAGTGTCATATTCCGAGCTAGAGATGTTGAACGATATATAGCAACAGGAATTTCTCCATGGTTTGTAATAAGATTCTATTGTAATAAGATTCAATTTGAATTGAATTGGATAGATTTAAGAATTTTCGAACAGTTCTCCTTGGAGAGAAGAGGCCTAAAAGGAGATCTGATGAAGATTTTCAGAGCCATGAATGGACTTGTTACAGTAGATGGGAAGAAACTGTACCTGCTTGTAAAAGACACAGATTTAAACTGATGTGCAAAACAAGCAAGGGTGAAGTGAGGATAAACTTTTTCACTCAGCAAGTAGTTAGTATATGGAATGCACTGACTGCAAGTGTGGTGGAGGCAGGTTCAATTGATGCATTCAAGAGAGCATTGCATGATTACTTGGAGAAAAATAATCTGTAAGGTTTTGGGGATTGGTACCAGGTAATATTGCTCATCTAATGAGCTAGTGCAGACAAGATCGGCTGAATCCCTATCATTTCTGCATAATACCACTACTTGCTGCTCTCCCATCCCACCCCCATTCCCAGGAAGCGTGATGATAGGAGCCATTGTAACTATTATGCACACCTCAGATCTCCACCAAATTTTCACATTGCAATTCCTGTAGGTCATGATTCATGTTCTGCTGTTTGCATGATGCTGTTTTAATGTCATGGCAGTCCTGGTCACCCCAAGTGTCTGGAATCACCTAGTTCTTCCCTGTGACTAGCTGCTCAATAAATTCTGTGCACTACTTGGCAAGTTTCCAAACTTGTTTATCTCTCGACTCAGTTACCTCTCCTAACCTCTGAATTCCGAGCATTAAACAGTGTAATACTGCTGTCTTAAGCTTTTTATTATTTTTAACACTAATAGCTTTATCTGTCTACCAATTTTAACTAGACACTCTCCATTATGCACTGTTGTGTCTCTCTCTGTCTTCCTGTCACTGTTTCTCACTAGAGCTTCCCTCTTGCCTTTCAACTAGACCAAATATTAAGAAATTAATGAAACTCATCCAGAAAGATCCTCCCATTGTTAACTGGCGATGCCTTTATATTGTAATCCTTAAGAGAACACTCAACTCTTAAGCAGATACGTGGGAAATACCTTTGAACCAACTGTTTCCAAATTGAACAAAATTTGAAAGTATCACATCAGTGTCACCACGTTGTTTAACTGCTTTGTTAAGGTCTTAAGTGACAGGTTATGCACACTCATACAGAGAGCTGAAGCAATGCAGAACCTGACATTTACCAACATATTATATTCACAATTCCTGTTTAAGTGACACAATGATAAGTCATGCTAATGTATCATTTTTACTTTGATTTTGATTTTCCATGCACATTGTAAAACAAAGATACGTAAAAGTACAGCCAACAACATAGATGAACAAAAATGGACTTAACCTCCTGATTGCTTCTAATCATTTTATTAGTTAAGTTTTATTCCTTTCATAGATTCTTCCAATTATTTTAATAGAATAAACAATTGAGCAAGCTAACATATGCCTGAGTGTCACAGGCATGACTGATTGGCTATTTATTTTAATGTGTCTTTTACCCATGCAAATATCCTTGCTAAGGCTTCCTTTCAGAAAACATTCCATGATCAGGTAAAAGCTGTTTCAGTTCATTGTGTACTGATACCATAGACAATCCAGAATATTGAGGTATTCAGATAGTGAGTCACAGAATTTCAAAAGCATTATGCTGCTAAAGGAGGCCATTCAGCTTATCATGTTTGTACTGATGTACCAGATGATCATTATGATTTTCTACCATTCTCCTGCCTTCTTCTCATATCCTTTACATTGTCTCAGTTCAAATAATCATCTAATGGGAACTTTCATTTTCATAGCCCCTATTAGTCTTTCACTCCAAATCCAGCTCTTGATATCTATGATTACATAATGAAAAATAATTAATAATAAGTCTGTTTTTACAATCCATTAAATAAGAGGCAAAAGAAATTGCAGATATCCAGAATTATAGCAAAGACTAATCACATAATATTTGAATTAACTTCATTCAGATTCAGATGGATTACATTTCTATTTATTTATTATTTATAAAAAAAACTCTTTAAATATTATACTGCCATCAAAACAAATATAAATTTGTATGTAAAATGAATTCTGTGATATAGATGTACGTATTTGCCTTGCCATCTGTATCTTACGTTGACATATTAACAACAACTTGCCTTTATACGATACTTGATATGGCAAAAATAGACCCAGTGAGCAAAAGATATTCCACCCAGCTCCCAGAGAAAGGAAGGGAGTGGTGCAAAATGAAACACTTCAGCAAGAAAATGAACAGAAATTGTTGTAAAAACTCAGCAGGTTTGGCATAATCTGTGGAGAGAAAGCAGAATTAATGTTTTGGGCCCAGTGACCCTTTTCAGATGTTCAGTGAGGCTCTGCAGAGGTACAGAAAGC